CCCACTGTTACACATTATTTCTGCACGGTTTTATCTACTAAGTTAAGTCTGGTATATCGTTGTTGAACTTCAAATCAATCGATTGACTAACTACTTACATAGAACAAAGTCCATGTAAGAACTATCGTAGAGTGCCGTTGTCATAATTTGTCGGCAAGTACAAATGAAACAGATACAGGTATTTTATAAAGAAAGTGTTAGCAGAATCGTATAAAAGATCGTATAAAAGTCACGCAGAAGACGCATTAATAATTATACGACCATGTGCCGGGTTTTGTTAAGTTTTTTTTTTTAATGGAAAAAGCAACTTTTTGAACAGCTTTCAATCTACCTGCGGGTACAGAAAATTCCCATGCGACTTGTTTAGTTGTTATCATCCGAAAAAGGAACCTTTAAAATACAATCCAAATCCAAATACATCAAACTCACCTAAATTTTCCTCTTCGCACACAGCCCCTGCCATATTCTTTTGAACCAGTCGCTCTATCCACTCCAGAAATTCTGTGGAAAATGAAAAAGCGATCAGAATCCGGCCGTTTTTAAACACACGCGCCCCGACAAGTTGTCTTTTGCATCCAATGATGCAATCCCACCGCACTACGTCACGCATCGAGCTATTAATAAACGGGTGACGTCACCTGATCCAAAATACGCCCCAGAAATTCGCTCCGATTTAAATGCTTTGTGTAACAGCGTTAAAAATGCACCGAGGCTCAGCCTAAATGTTTGTAAACAGTATCTTTTGGCTCCTACAAAAAGATATATTCGTGATATACTATAACGCTTGAGGAAATGCCAAGGAAGCGATGTGCACCTGTTATACTATAATCTCTACACTACGCTGGCTATATATAGGGGAATATTTGCCGGGGGAGTTTAGCCGCCTTGTCATTTGACTAGCCGCGGAGGGAAAGAAACTACCTCCCCGCGGCCGGACTCCCTTCGCCAATTTTACTCTCTTTTTTGCCGAATTCTACGATATGTATTCCCGTAGAAAGGCCTGGTGGAGGCTACACCTGCTACGCCTATAGTGCTCTTGTTGTCGACAGCGAATTCATCGGCCTCCCATGTGATCTAAGCTTAGCCTAAATGTTTGGAAACAATATTTCTTGGTGATTACACAGAAATAGATTCGTAAAATACTATAATACTTGAGGAAATGCCTAAGAAGCGTTGTGCACCTGCTACGCCTATTGTATAAGTACCCTTGTTGTCGACAGCGAATTCATCGGCCTCCCATGTGGTCTAGTGGTTAGGATTTGTGGCTTTCACCCACACGGCCCGGGTTCGATTCCCGGCATGGGAAACCTTCTTTTTATTTTTTCCTAAAAACTAGAAAACATTTACTGAAACATTACACGTTTAGCACTGTTTGTTGTTTGGTTATTAAAGACCTTTGTTTGTAGTAGACTGTATTTTGTTTCTACCTTAACCAGCGATCTTACCTTCGTGACAGCAATATTTCACAGTAGCGTCGACTAGCAGAGGGTGAAACGGGCAGATCAATAAAATGTTGAGTAGGAAATATCGCATTCCAGTTGCGTCCCAAACGCGGTAGATTGATTAAACCCAGATGGGCGAAAGGACGGTAGAGAGAAGGTGGGTGTTGCCCGAAAAACGTACTTCACTTCCGCATTAGGAGCACAAGACAGAAATCAGCAGCGGTTTCACGGCCGCGTATTCGGATCCACGGATCGAAAAATTCGCGGGAAGGCCGGAAAGGTAGAAAGGTCAACGATGATCTTTGCGACATTTTCTACTGAGTAAAAATAGCAAAAAAAAAAGAAAAAAAAAAGGTTAGGAATAGAAGACAGTTGGACCGAATCTTGTTCAGACAAGTAAACACGACGCGATTCAACGCTACTCTCCAAGCAGAGGTTGTGGGGAATGATCGTTACCTTTTTATATATGGCCGTTTTTTTTTTGTTTTTTGTTTGTCCTGATCCCCACCACCCCGTCGGTGGCTAATGGAGCTTCTCTGGCCAATTTGATACTGTCTTTTTGCCACCGAGAGGGATCTGCTTGGAGATTAATTCAACGCAGTAAACGATCAGCCAACGGACCAAATATGGAAATTTCGGAATGCATACTAGTAATTAATCACCACTCCTGTCAATTATTCCTGATTGACAGCGTGGGCGGTCACGTTTTGGAATATTCCAAATCGTGGTCCCGGTCGGCGACATGAATTGGAATACAACGTGTGGAATGCCAGTTGCATTCCGAAACGTGGTCCATTCCAAATCATGATTTGGAATAACATTATTATTTTGGAATGCAACACACGTACCGGCTCGTACCAGGTACATAATTTCTTGGCGTGCAGTAGACAGATCCAACTCACGTTCGTCTTGTCGTCATATTTCAACAGATCGTCTGAAGAAAAGGTAGGTTACGCTTAATAGATTTGCAAGGACGTTTTACAAGTAAAATGTCCTGGGTACCTTGTTGTAAAACGTCCATCGGTTCTTTGTGTGTGTGTTTGAGTGTGTGTGACTCTCACAGTGTGTTAGCCGTGGACGACTCTGGTATTAAATCATTTTGCATGATAATGCTGGATACAGATCCGGCATTATCATGCAAAAAGAATTACCAGAGTCGTCCACGGCTAACAGTGTGTTTGTGTGTGCAAGGACATTATACACACAAGGCCTTGTGTGTATAATGTCCTTGGTGTGTGTGATGTGTATGTGCATGGAGGTATATACCTCCATGGTATGTGCAAGGACGTTCAACATCCTTGGTATGTGTGTGTCTGTCTGTGTGTGTGTGTGTGTGTGTGTGTGTGTGTGTGTGTGTGTGTACGTGTCGTGGTGTGTGTGTGTAGTGTGTGTGTGTGTGTGTGTGTGTGTGTGTGTGTGTGTGTGTGTGTGTGTGTGTGTGTGTGTATCACGGTGTGTGTGTGATGTGAGTGTGTGTGTGTGTGTGCGTGTGTGTGTGTGTGTGTGTGTGTGTGTGTGAGTGTGAGGTTGCGTGTG